GACGTTGGCATGATTACTTTCCTATCTGACAACAGGACATAGACAATCTTGTTTCCTTTCTAACTACTTTTCGAAGCATTTTTATGGTGTTAAGGTAAGATTAATGAAATCAATGATAATGAGGAATTAACGTCCAACTGACATAAATCAACAGCATCAAGAGTTAGAAAGGCCAAGAGGAATCTTAGCTGAGAACAATTATCCGTTAGGATTAATTGTTGATAATTTTGAAATGCTATGAAATAGGATTATATGAAACCATTCCTATGGCAAAACAGGAAATTAGACAACTCTTCGTTCAGGTCCATGAAGGGCGGTGAGGCGGGGTCTTCTAACCATAATCCAATAGTCACAAATCCAAGGTAACCCTCCATCGGTTTCCGATGAGGCCAATTTACTAGCCACATTTTTTCGTCTTCTCAAACGAAATTAAAGGTATGCTGGCATGTATAATTAATTTTCCCACAATGGGATTAGCTGACCTCACGATGCAATATAATTACACTTGGTCTTATCTACAAAAGATATTCTCATTCAGGGCGCACTACAGTTTCGACTTCGCCTAGGTCTCGTCAACACCTCCAGCAGATGTTGAGCCGGAGAGATAGTTCACCAGAATATTCCAGAATGGATCTCTACCCGTCGAAGTGCGAGCTGAGCTAGACAATTTAGCACCTAAGCCATATAAAGCCATTTTTAATTGACACCATTTTATGGGGAATTTTTTTGCAATATATATTAAACTAAATACGCTATCAAGTAATATGATTAATATTAGCTTCTGCATAAAGCCTGATTGTTGTCGATTTATGCTAGCTTCAACATAACTATTATTTGCCTGCAGTCCATCCGGAATGAGAATGTCGCTAGAAGGTAGCTGATAACTGATTGTCAGCATCGTAGCTACCAATCCAATAGGAAGTCAGTCAACATTGATAAACTCAAGAAACAACCAGCCTCCTGATAGCTAATAACTGAATATATAAAGCTTTTGAAAGAGTTTAAAGAGAGAATACAAAGCAAAAATCCAACTTTGGCATTAAGATCAGCAGAGTCAGAGAATGGCTTCATTTAAGGAAGTTTGCTTAAACATCAACTACATTTATTAGGCGCTTGGTAGCTACCGTCTGAAAAGAGTCCGCTTTTTGAGCTGTCGTCAGGTGTGGCCCACAGGTCAGATTGGTTGTAGACGCTAGGTCTTGATGACCCTTGTCGGGGCAGTCTGGAACATCACAGTCTTGACAAGAGGCATTATCGGGTTCGGCCACAGTGTAAAGTCCCTCACAAAATGGTGTAATTGAGAGAGGTGGAGGTGTTGAAGGTGGGACCAAGGAAGAAGGCTGTCCAGAAGAGCTAACTACTGTAGGAAGCGAAAAACCCAACGGGGTCTGTAGCAGCGGAACATTGACGTAGGCGCGAGAAACGAGATGAGTGCACGCGGGATGTGGAGCTAGATATGGAAAGTAGAGAGCATAGAATAAGTAAAGAAGAGGAAACAACTAACAGTTAAGAGGTAAATGGTGGATTGAAGATAAAATCAAAAGCGTAAAGACAGGACTAACCTACAAGTTGAAAAAAAGGACAATTTGAACTTGATACAATTACAGCTTAACTTAATATTGTATATTTAATTGAAGATATGAAGACCAAGATGGTGTGACCCTCGGTATGGTCACAGTCTACTTTCGATTTAGAGAAGTGAGTTGACCTCCCTTCTGCAACTTGGTCTTGTTGTCAGGGCGACTTAGTAGAACGCATCTGGTCCAAAGCCCTCTGCCATAGCAGTTATTATAAGTCCCAGCATCCGACAGTGGACTTGGTATATTCTCAAACGTAGTCGGCATCATCAGTGAGTCTTGCTACGAACTCGTCAAAGAGGCAAGTGAAGTCGATCCCTCGACAAACGTTCTGCCGAAAACGGTTACACTATCACTCCTCTTTCTGTACTGGCCTATCTATCTACTCTTTAGCCTCTTCGCCCACTGCCGCCTTATCACAACTTCTCACTTGTCTACATTCCACTCGTCAAAATGTGTGCTCTTTTGTGGCAAATCTAGTGTGGCCTCATCACACCGGCTTATCCGACTCGGGCCTCCAATCCGGATCCCCTCATCGTCGCGTGGATCCGTTCCTTGTCGTTCTGGTCGACCGGTTTCACTCGGTTCCAGTCCCAATGCCGGTTTTACTCCTAGCGCTATTTTTCAAGGCCCTAGAAAAAAAACATACCCTATCCCTCACCGAGAAGAATGCCAAGACTCTGATTGCCATGCTTGCAGATATAAAAGCATTGCTTTCACAGATCGTTTCCTTGATGAAACCCGCGTTACTCGAGCAAACTGTAGGTGTCTATGTCTGGTCGCCAGCGGCATCTCAAGTGGATTTATGGTACATTTTGGCCATAATGCCTAATTTCTCTGATGG